ATGACCAATCCAATTAGCCTTCCGTTTTCTTATTTCGTGTAGGATATTCCTCTGCTCACTGACTCTAAACAACACTTCTTCATTTCTCACATAATCGGTCCAACTGATCTTCTCCATCCTTCCCCAATACCACATTTCGAAGCTTTCCAGGTGTTTCTGATCTACTGCCCTAAGTGTCCAAGTTTTAGCCCCATACAAAGCGATGCTCCAAACATAGCATTTCACTATCTTTCTCAAATTTAAGTCCAATTTGCTGGTAAAATGATTCTTCTTCTTGCTAAATGCAGCTTTTGCCATGGCAATCCTAGATTTAATTTCACACGTACACCTTCCATCATCTGTTAACAAGCTACCCAAATATTTAAAACATTTCACATTCTCCAGTTGTTTTTGGTACATCAAGAATATATAAACAAAAAAAAGGTACATACATTAAATTTTACTATATTTAAAAATAATTACTTAGAACTGTGTGTGCGCTTCTACTAGCGACATGCGCATGCACTTCTACTAGTGGCATTTAAATACACGCATATGTGCCATTCAGTCACAATGACTGCACCTTTCAGTGTATTGATTCGTGCACTTCAGACATCAAAGTTTAAATGGCCATGCTTTGTTATTGTGCATCAATCTCCTTTTAACTGTTGTTTTCACTTCTTTGTCCCAGCTTCAGTGATACTGTAAAAGTACACACACTACCACCAACTTTACAATCATAAAAATGAAGAGTAAATAGTTTATGTTATGAATGAGAATATGTTATCCATGTAATGTATACACATCTATTTACTAAATGTCCATGTTATTCACTCCTCACACATCAACTTATTAAATTTATGTCTTATTCATGCTTCATACATCCCAGTACATTTCTGCATGCTGTCTTTTCCTTTCTTAGTAAGCTTATACTGGCTGACATATGCCAAGCATCTACAAATGTCTCCCTCAATGACAAGGGGAGACAGATCAATCCCTATAGTCTAGTTTTTATAATTTTACTAAATCTTTCACGCTCTGGAAAACCTTATCACTTTCTAAGTAACTTTAACTGCAGAAAAGCACGTACGATCAACTACTACTATAAAAATATACTATACTTCACTCATGAAAAGATGAATACATAAGACACACTTTCACCTTTCTTACATTGTGAAGATATGGGGACATTTTTAGAACTGTACTTACAAAAGCAAACATGAAAGAATGGTGTAAAAGCTGGAAAATATACAGTGAATAGTACACTTGCAATTATAAGAACAGTACATTCATCTTTGTGTCAGTAACACTGATGAAATATGGGGATAATAATCTAATTTCCTTGACACAATTATAAATCTAGAAATTTGACTTCAACGACAACTTTTGTTACTGGTCAAACCAAGTTTCATCAGAATGAGGACACTGACTTTTAAAAGTTCATCCACTGGAAACCTGCATACTGATACACAAATCCCGAGAGCAATACATTTATTTTATTTATTTACGGTTTATTTAACAGTATCAGTGGCTCACATCACAAATTAAATTTAATTTACTTGGAAACATCTGGCATATGTTAATTAACTATTACACTGTGTATCATCTCACTCCTAGTTTAGGAGTTAAAACCTTCAAAGAACTGTCACCTTTATCTTATGGTGGCAATGAAGGACAATAGGGATCAAATTTATATTTGCTTGTAAGTTATAATGTAATATACTATACCAACAGTTATTAAAATCAGTCGATCCAAAACTGGGCTGTTTCATGCAGCCAATAATACACATATGCCAAAAGCAATAAATGTACACGGCTTATTGTGATTGCATGGGAACTGATATTAGCAGGGTGCAGTGAGCTGACTTAACTAACCTGAGCACGCTTAAGGATGTTGCTGTGCTGATCAGTGAGGGATGCAAGCATTTGATCAACCTTCTCAGTCCTCTCAGGCAGACTCTCAATCTTGTCCCTGAGGTTCACAATGTCCTGTTGATGAGATACGGCATCATGGAGCAAAGCTCTATAGCTCTGAAGTTTAGCTCTCTTTTCATCAAGTGTCGTTTTGAGCTCCAGTTCTTGTGGCAACTGAGCTTCAGTCTCTTGAAGCCAATGTCGCAAGTTCTCACTGCATTCTTCAAAGCCAGTCCATCTGAAATTTAAAGGTTAACATTGTTTTGCAAAAAACAGAATATGTGGGTGGCTAAGAAAAGTGTAAAAATTAATATTCAGATACAGTGCACATTTTTTCCCAATTCTTATCCACTTCAATGTGTCATTTAATTGCCAGTATCAGTGAACACATGTTTCACATATAACTCAGAATTCATTTTACACAACAACTAATACATTTCTAGTAAAAGTATCTTTCAGTATGGTGGGTACATGTACCACTGAAACACTAGCTAGACTATTTTGAATGTATCAGGGCTGCTGAAATTTCTTTCTTTTTTTTTTCATTTCACTTCTTTAAAACCACTACATATACAGTGTGTTCAGGATCCGTTAGGACTCATTTTTTTTAATTTTGCCCTGAAATGCCATCTATTGACAAGTTGTGGTGTTAAGATTCTTGAAGTTTCAGCTGTGGCTGTCTATAATTTCAAAGCGCAAGCATCACTGCATCATGCGTTCTGACCTTGAATGTAACAGTACTGTTCTGACGCTCATTGGAAAATGGAGGTTGAACAGAGAGCAAACATCAAATTTTGCTTGATGTCAGGCAAAACAGCCAGAGAAGCGCAGAAGTGTACAGTAGTGATTGTTTGAGTCACTCGAACTTTTTCGATGGTATGCTGCATTTTGTGACGGCAGGGAGGACACTGAAGATGCTCCACATGCATCAAAGCCAAGAACAAGTGGCACTGAAGAAAATGTGGAAAAAGTGACCGAAATCCTTGCATCAGACAGATGTGTTTCTGCAAGACTCATCGAGGAGCTTTTGCGAATATGAAAAAGTACTGTGCATCAAATTTTGACCGAGGATTTGGGCAAATGGAAGGTCTGTGCGAGGTTTGTACTGCACATGCTGTCAGGCGATGAAAAACATGCTAGAGTGGAACATTGCAAAGACATGTTACAGCCAGCCCAAAGTGATACAAAATTTACAAAATTGATTGTTACTGGTGATGAGACATGGTGTTTTCAACATGAGCCTCTCGCAAAGCAAGAGGCAGAGTGCAGCATGGTTGAGCCCAAAGAAGCCGAAACCAAAGAAAGTGTGCATGCAAAAGAGTCGAGTAAAGACACTGCTAACCGTTTTCTTAGATTCCAAAGGAATCATTCACGAGGAATTTCTGCCAGAAGGTTAAACAGTGAATTCTCATTATTATCTCGGAGTCCTCAATCGTTTGTGGGACGAGAATTCTTTGAATTCGACCTGAATATCGAGAGCAAGGTTCCTGGTTGCTCCTCCACGACAATGCCCCACCCCACAAATTGAAGATCGTGCACGATTTTTTGGCCAGAAAATGGATCACAGTCCTTGATCATCCTCCGTATTCGCCACATTTGGCTCCAGCAGATTTCTGGTTGTTCCCAAAAGTTAAGTTGGCGATGAAAGGACAACACCATCCAGGATATCCAAAGGGAATCTACAGCAGTTTTAAATGTGATTCCACAAAAGGAGTACAGTGACTGTTTTTGAAAACTTTTCAATCAATTCTAGCTATGAAATGATTCAGAAGACTATTTTGAATAAAAAGAGTGAAATTTTGAAAATAACTCACACCTTGTATTTTTAATGAACACAGTCGTAACAGAACCTGGACACACTGTGTATATGCTGATTTCTTGCTGAACAGTAAGACACCTCTCACACTTTACAACATTACAAACATGTTTCACTAAACACTATATAACACTCAGCTTTAATAAGGACACATGAACAGTCTTTCTCCTTTAGTTAGCAGTTTGCATTTTATTCCTGTCTGTGAGATCCCACACTGTTCACTGTTTAAATGATCTCCATAACAAACTGTTGTGATGTGAACAAAATGTGAACACTCAAAACAACTAAAGCAGTAATGAAGCATGATGAATAAGTCATCACATCCGGATGTCAATTGAGCTCTGCTCTGTTTCAGACGTCTATGGCCACTAGCCAGAAGAAATACTGTTCATAACCCTCTCACGTAAATGAGTAATGTCTGTAACAAACAAATCAACCTGGGAAAAAAGAGCTAAGGAAAAACATATTAAATGCATAAGATGTTATTTTCAGAACATTAGAAAATAAAAAAAAGAAGTTAACAAAGTTTAAAAATACTTTGGCCTAACGGGGAAATGTCTGAGACCAGATAATTTGAATATCTTAAGCTAAAAACATCTTAAGAAACCATATAGATGGTTTCCACTGTACATCCCTGAGTTAAGGTTTTTCTTTTCATTCAGTGTGTTCTTTGGTCACAGGCCACATACTGCACAATTCTTTGTGTAAATGGAACCTTTATGGAACACCCATGTTGGGTTGTTCTCAGTTGCCTCTCTAACCTCATCACACAATGTTTCTAATGCCTGCTGCAATTAAAATGTGCACTGACCTGTTCAGTTTTGCTCGCAGTTCCCTCTCTGTGCTGGAAATCCCATCATATAGGGTTTCTAATGCCTGCTGCAATTCCTGCAGTTGTTGTCTCACAGCTTCACGTCCTTCCATTGCTGTAGATGGGTATAATTTCTCCCCTAATTCTACTGTAGTGTTCAGTAGGGAGATTGGCTGCTCTGCCAGCAATTCTTTCAGACCAGCACTACGCTGAACTAGATCTTGTCTTGCACCAACTGAACTTCCATCTCGACAACTCTCAAACCTTCCTTGAGCTCCAGCAAGCCATTCTGAACACTGACGATACTTGTCTAGGTAAGCTTCGTGGTCTGACACTGCATGCTCACACTTCTTAACAATTTCCTACAAAGATATCAGATGTTGCTGCAGGCAAATATAAAGTCATGAAGCATTTATAATTTACTGATTACAATGTTCAACTGAAGTGTGCAAATGTGAGGGAAGTTTAGGTGAAATACATTTATACTTACTTAGCAATAAGCTGCACATTTATGCTCTTCACCTATTGACATTTCAGAAATTCGTTCCATCACAAATGTATGTAAAGCAGGCAATAATTCTGGCTCCACTAATAAAGGTTACATTGTAATATGTATTTAAATTTTCAAGTTGTTGTTAATCATTTCAAACAAATCTCATTCAAACTAATACAGTACACTGTTATACCCATCCTACTTATAAAACCTGTATTTCACAAATTTAACAAATCACATTAACAATCCTCAACTGCCACACATACAATAATTAATTAATTATAACATTTCATTAAAGGTCACATCTTAGATAAAGTACCAAGCCTGCAACTGTGTGTGTGTATGGATATGTATACATGTATTTTATTATATTTCAGCATATTGTGAAACTTGGATTATGTACCTAATACTACATGATCATCACTGCATGTGTAAAGTGTGGAAAAATACTAGAAATGAGAACAAAATACACCAAAAATTTTTCATGCTACTTCATAGGACTTAATTCACATGTTGAGAAGCATACATAACAGCAACACAATAAAGGTGTAGAATCACTATTTCAGTGTAAAATAGAGTCGAATCTTTACACAGGGGTTACAATCTGAAGAGTGCACACAAGCTCAAAATCATATGTAGTCAGAATTACCCTTCAAAATCCCTTAAATCACTCATAAGTACATGTTTTTGTATATATCCTGCAATATAAATGTAGATAATAAAGAGTACATATACAAGTGTAATGTACAGTAATTTTATTTTTAATTACATAAAGACAGTGAGAGATAGTTGTAGATGAATGTTCCATGCTATTTAATTTGTGGGGGGAGGGGCGGCAAGTGCTTATGGTTGAACTTGTGTAAGTTAAATGTGCATACAATGTGGTTCCACTGTGTTAATTTTCCATCTTGCTCATCCTTCAATGTTATAATAAGATCTAGTGGTTTTCCCCCCTCTTGGATTTCCAGAAAAGTGCATTGCCATTGTTCATGGAAATGTTGGCAACAAGACTTATAACACAGTTAAACTGATAAGCAAAAGTGGTGTGTTACTTTACTCACCATAAGCACACAACTTCAATACAACACATATTATCCAGTGAACACCAAATGGTGTAAGTATTTTACGAAGTTCAAGACTTTTGAACAGTTCATGAAACGTTACATCAATAATCAGGCAACATAAATTATGAAATCAACAGAGAGTCTAGTAAGAAACATATGGCCAAGTTGGAGTGACAAGTCTTCAAGCAGTGACATATTTATATTACTAACTTCAGTGGCCATTTTAACTTACAAAGCGTTAAACCAACTCACCTTGGCTGTGGTTTGAATGGACTGGAATCTTGACGTAATCTGTTGAACATTAACTGATATCTTGGTTTCACCACTGATCTGAACCAAATCTGAAGAATCATCGCTCATCTTATCAAATTCTGCTTCATTCTGTCGCAAACTCAGGATCAAAGACTAAATTAAAACAAAATAAAAAATAAAAATTTCATACATTACAGCTCTGACATAACATGAATACAAATAATTTAGCTACATTTTATTTTAATAAATAAATAAACAAGAACTGTATAACTCTCCATAATAATAATATGCTTTTTTTAAGAAAAGCATGGCATGCTTAACTGTAAAGTATACCTTACAAAAACAATATTCTGTGCTAAAAGGAAGACTCCCTTCATATTTTCATATCACATTTAATGGTGAAATTTTTTGTACACTGTAATAATTCATAACAGTCTAAAGAGTGGATAATACAAAGAAAATTTTATTTTTTAAATCACAAAAACAATGTAACATCATATTTTAAATCTATTTTAAGCATCATTTAAAATTACTCCTCAGCAGGTGGCTCATGTTTACTGATATGATGGATGACATTCAAAATTAGTTATAATTACACATAGTAATCTATTCTGATAAATGTATCTGACATGTAAGTAAATTATGGGAATTTAAACAAAGAGAGAGGTTTCATCTTCAAACACTACTGAACAAATACTAAGACCACAGTCACCTAAAATATAATTTCTAAGTAGTTCTGGTGTTGTAGCTATGTATAAATCTAATACAAATCATAAACATAAAATAAAGAGATTACTGTAACAATAGCTTTTTAAGGATGTTGCAGTACATCACGTTTCAAGTCCTTAAAAGGAGGATCAGCATTAATGCATACAAATTAAAGTAAAACAAAATGATATCAGCAAACTGTAAAAAGAGAAGTACCAAGAATTAAACTCAAAACACATATAGTTACCAGAAAAATAAAGATGATATCTTGCACAGAACATAACCTTGACTGCCACATTATACAGTCTCATCACAGAAATTCTGTTACCTTTAAAACCAAGCAAGCATTACTTCATTCAAACATTAAACTAATAAACAAAATATCATTTGTATTTTTCAGCTTTTGGGAATAAGCTGTATAGAATTCTGAAAGTTTGCCAAAGGTATGGCAAACATTGCATCTCCCATCTTCAGGGTTGATGTATGCAAGGTCATTTCAGCAGCCTTACATGGATCTGGCAGTGGGCAGTGGAGTGGGCAGGTGAAGATGTATTTGTACAAAGCAGAGACCAGGGTGCTACCCAATAGGGAGTGACTACATGGTTGAGGATGGAGAAATGTACTTTCTGGAGACCCAGTAATCATGAAGACAACTGATAAAAATGATTTTGCAAAGCCACCTTCAGGTGACAAGATGATATAAGTATTTTAGTAACCATGTGGTAGTGACACAGGCGATGAAATGTTTTTGCAGCAACATGGTAATGAGAAGATATGACAGATGATTTTGCAACCACCTCTTCAGAAAGGATTACCCAAGAAGGTTTTAGATAGAAAATGAGGTCAAATTCCTTTATGGTAATCAGGTGATTAGGAACAGAGGTGATGAAAGAGACTTAGCAGTCATGTGGACAGAAAAGAAAGTAGGCAGAGAAACATATCTGGGCCCACTGCATCAGCCTGCATGGGCAATGTTGAAAGAGTTTGAATAAAACAAAAAGGAAATATTTGTTTATACCTACTGAATGAATCTTAATTGCAATATATTTTAGTCACAGTGACAAGAGTAAATGCTTTTTCCAACCACATTATTTAAATGTTCCTGTCAGTTCACAGACATTCCCTTCATGCTAACAATTTAATATATGCCCAGTACATACAGCAATACCTCGCACAGCCTGGGTAATAGGTTCCACCAAAATCCCAGACTAAACTGGACTAATCCAGGNTATTATTATTTATTTATTTATTTATTTTAAATGGGTATTAAAATTTAATTGTCACAAATGGACTTTACTGTAGATTTGCATATCGAAAACTGATAGACAGAAGTTAATTCAACATTAAAGTTCACAAACATCCACTGCTTACTAGTGCTACATAGCTTACACATTAAGGACAGCAGTTATGATCGCACTGAACTGCAATCAGAGTGGTGTCTTTCACACACTTCACGCTTAAGACCTTGAGCTCTAACAGTTGTAGGCTCTGTTACCAAAGCGAGATAAAAGTCAATGCAGAGCATGCCTCATCAGTGCTCTACCCAACTCCTCCAGCGATAGCTGTCAGAGCTCAAGAACAAACGACCCAAGCATACATACATAAATATACAACGGGGAACCCCAAAAAAATTGAAACATCTATTATATCGCATAACTTTAAAACCACACATAGAGAGACTTGACTGTATAAAGGAAAAAAACTGATCATTTATGTATTAAAAATAATTTTGTGTGCTAATTTTTTAGAATTTATTTTCATTTTGCTCAATTAAAATTTAGTTTATTTTGAAATTTTCAAGCCGGACTATAGTGAATCTGGACTGATTGAAGCCAGACTAGGTGAGGTACTGCTGTATTAGTAATATCTGCTTTCTATGACTTGAAATCATTTAGTCTTTTTAGAGCCCCCACCATAGAAGAGCAGGAAAAGCCTAGAACAGTCAGCTATCAAATGCCTATTGCAAAAATCTTGCATTATCATTTATAAAATAACTGCAACTTAAATGCCCCATCATTATTGGTATCGTCAAAAAAGTTCACTTATAAATGCTCTTTGGCCATTTCTCCGGCAACTGTACCACCCAGAAGACTACAATTTGAATGTTTCTGTATCTTTGTTATACAAATTTCATTTTCTTTCCAGATGATTCAAATTTAGTATTTTCCAAATGTGATGTAAATCAAGAAGGGTTTTAATTAATGCATACAGCATATCAGGAGAATATTACTTTCATTTTCATATGCTTCATCATTCATTTTTCAACAGTCATGGTCACTATTTTGTAGCTCTAATAAACTGTGACTACCAATTGACAAATAAGCAATCACTTATTGCACAAAATTCTCCATACCTCTAGTTCCCCAGCACTTATGCACTGCACCAATGGCAACCTAAGGCCATGTTTACCACAGGGGCAGCATGTCATATACAATCTCACTATTACTTTAAAATGGCAAAAGCAAGTCTTCTCTCTGCTAAATTAATTAAGTACTATACCATCAAGATGTCTGGGAGGGTGGAAGTGAGGCTCCATGCACTGTTAACCTTGGATTTAGGTCAAGATGGGAATACCGCTTTCACTGAAGTCCCAATGTGTTTTGCTGGCTAAGAAGTCACTTATGCCAATGTGGAAACAAGTATTTTTAAAGATTTCAGGTTTTCACAGGAGTGATTATGAAGAGTTCTATCTTCAGGGATATAAAGCCATGCACTCCGTTGAAAGTCAGCCAACATTTCAGAGGAACATGTCACCTCAAACTTCAGGGCAAAAGAAGAAACCAGTGTGAAGCAGGTGGTAAGCAGAGCCTCTGCTTGTCACCTTTATGCATTTTGACTGAAATTAATACTGTTGCATATATAACATGCTGCCTCTAAAAGAAACAAAAGAAACAACCAGAAGCCTCTTTATCATAACTGTACAACACCAGGCACTGAAATGAAACCAATAAATGGGCATACAAATATGCATTACACATCACATTAGTGCCTATGATCTGATATCATATACAGAAACTATTCAGACAGTTCGGTAATGAATAATTTCAAGCAAGGAATATGACAATTTCCAACTACACTGTCACAATGCATGGATACATTATAATCTATACTGTTTCTGTAAAGAATAGCAAGTGTCAATGATTTTTTAAGGGCGGAAAAATTCAGGGAACAAGTCCTCCGGGAGGGACTTTAAGCTGTGTCCCCCGTGTCATAACTTTACGGCATGTAAAAGAACCTCATATCCCCAAAGGGGATCACTGAGCCAAATTCCAGGACATTTCCCGCCCAACAATAGTCTCTAAGGCCTCTGATAGATGGGGGGAATCATTATAGATACCGCTAAGCAAGTGGCCGAACTCGCTTGCTCAGCAGGACTGATGGTACGCACCATTTATCGGTAGGGTACAGAGACTGGTAGAATATCATAGAGGGAAGCACAATAGATCAAACTGGTCGCGGGGAAACTGGGGAAACCCACCCTCTCTAAATAACTAACTAACTAACTAAGTGTCAATGATACAATAAGACCCATGTGGTGCTACCTGATAACACAAAGACTATTCAATATGACATCCAAGTGTGTGTTACAGTTGTATTTATTACTCTGATCAACACACTATGTCCAAGGAACTGAAGAATAATGCATAAATCCTCATTTCTCCAAATAACTGTTGGAGCAACTGAGACACTGTCCCAGTCATATATCACCTATAAACCAGGATGCCCTCTTATCCTCCAATTCAGCTCAGCTTCCACCTCATCACCACACCAGAAATGTTTTCCTTTGAAATGCTTCTTCAGTGACATGAAGAGGTGAATATTACAAGGGGCAATGTCTAGGGTGCATAGTGTATAGGCAGGAAATTTCTGGTGGAACTACTCCCAACAGTAACATTGTGGTACAGATTGTATGGGGGTAATAACTGTCAAGGGGAAGGATCACTGTCTCTGTGAGAAAGCTAGGGAATTTCATCTGGATGATTTCCTTCACCTGCCAGTGTTGTGCATCAGCATTATGCATTTACTCTTGTCCTCTGTACAAGGAATTCAAGGATGGTGGTGACCTGCACATCCCAAAATGCTGTCAAGAAACCTCACCACAGACTGCATGGCCTTGGCCTTCCTTTTCTTCAAGGATCTGGTGTGTTTTCACCCCAGTGACACTACTCTGCCTACTAACAGTGGCAATATAACCACCGAATTCTGGGCACTGTGGAAGGTGTTACCAACAGCATTTCTAGATGCAGAGACTATTCTCTCCCTAGAGTTCCTGCACCATGGGCAACAGTGAATGCAAATCACTACTGGATAACATTCAGCACCTGCAGGAAGCCATCCAGAAGTAATTCTCCTGGTTGCTCAAAGAAAGGGATCCTTCTCCACAAAAATGTTCTCCCCATAATAAAAATCCTGGAACATCTTCACTGATAACTTATTACCCATTCACCATAAAACCCATTTCACCTAGTAACATCAGTCCCTCAAAAGCACTAAAATAAAGAAAACACCTCTGATGTAATAAGAAGGTAAAAGACAATATAATCATACATGGGTGGATATAACATTGAGCCCCAATCTTTTCTGCAAGAACTGAACACTGAGATAGATGTCCCAACTACTCGGGATATTATGTAAATAGACAAAGGGTCTGTCCAATATTCCTTGTTCTTCTGGACATCTGTACAAAAGTAACAAATTAACAAACATAAGCACAGCACACCTGAATGCTTCTTACTAAACATTCTTCACATACACAACAGTAATTTTTAAGAATATATACAAACAAGATAAAAAGTAATTCTGTTTAAAAAAGCAGACTGTCCTATGAGGTAGAATAATGTGAATTTTGGCTAGATACAATTATGATTTCAGGCATACTGCAGAGTTGAAGAAAGAAGTATCAGTGGAAGTTAACAGAACTACTGAGAAAGGAGAAAAAATATACCATAACAAAAATACCATACAAAATTCTTACTTGTTCAAGATGATCGGCTAGGGTAACAATTTCCTTCACATCTCTATTTCTGGACTCAACTATTTTTATGAGATCCTAAAGGATAAATCACAACATTAACACAAACATTATTAATCAAATATATACATATGCCAACTGGGTAAAAGCAGGTTCACAGCTTTACAATCAGCATTTATACATAAACTACTGTTATTATATGTTATTCCATTAGTTTCAGCTACTGGGATAGAGTTCAGGATATTTGGGTTCAAAATTACAAATCAGAATCATTTTCAAAAATGTACTTAGAAAATTGTAACTACATACTTCCACCCTGACTCCAGAATTTAACTGAAGCAATCCAAGCTAAAACATATATATAGCTACCACATAACAGTCGATATACTACTGTGAAAAAGTCAAAGGAAATCAAAAATAGAATGTCACAAAATAAATTTAAGGAATAAAAGTTGCTGTATATAGTAGGCACATTCTGCTCATAGGAGAACCATAATTATCCAGCAGACAACTTCAAGAGCAAAATCCTTGGTCAGTTAAGCAACTGTGCACGCTTTGTTATTCTGACACATAATTCTGAACACTCGTATTTATCTATTTTTAATATTTTAGTTATCTCACTTCCTTTTTGAAAGCATTTCTAAAAAATTAACAGAATTTCTAGGAACATCTTATGATGCCTATAACCATAAATTAATAATTGTACAATTCAGTGATCCATTTGTAGGCATAGTTTTTTCTGGTTCAGCTTTAGAATACACTAAATTTGCCAAATATAACTTTGTGCCTTAGCAAGTTAATAGATTTAAAACTTATTACAAATAGTTCATAAAATACTTGTATGTATTTGAGTTATAACCTTAATTTCATTTTCATGTAGCCTTGAAGTTGTTACATTATACAAATGTATAGTCTTCAAAACAAGTTGCATCCCCCCCCCCACATATAAAAGAGGCATAATACTCCACATATGAACATTTAAGGAATGTTGTGAAACAGCAGTAACAGGTGAAGCATTTTTACCCTTATTAAGTCTGAAACATCTACACAGTACCTATGGCATTACAAAATTCAAGAATGTGTATGTGTGGTTACTAAACGTTCTGAAACAGAATGCAAGCTTTGTAAAGACTGAAAAACAACCCTCCTTTCCACTGCAATTCTTATTCCCATATTCTAAGTATCCATGAAGAATTTAATGCATCTAAAAAGTCTTCAAACTGAAATGAACAAACGAATGAGTGAACCAAGTTTATACCCTGAAGTAACTTTGACAATCTCATAAAAATATTTCATGGTTTTGGTACTGATTTAATGTTAAATCTGTGACATTTACTGCTTTGTTATTTCCAACATCTTTACTATTAACTTTACTGTACAGTGGATGATGATTAATTTTCAATATCACAAATTGTCAATGAAAAATCCGTCGAGTGTAACAATGTTTTTAGGTCACTTATTTATCTCACTTGCCTTACATGTTTCGGTTCAAGAAAAACCATCATCAGAGGCACGTATTACAAACACATGAAAACACTGGCGTTGTTTAATGTACACAGTATGTAAGCTGCGTGGACGCTGTTACAGATGTCGAAGTGTAAAAGCACAACACTTTCTAGTAACATTGAATGCACGTACAACTCTTGCATTCCATCTGAAAATTGCCCTCAAATTGAGCCGTCAATGTTAAAATATTTAAAAGTTTAAAACATTTAAAGT